AGCCACTCTTGAAAAAGAATCACAAGCATCCAAGCCTTAGCATTGCTCCTATATGTCATGGGCAAATTATTAATTTTTACATTTTTGAAACATCGGGGTTGGCATATTTGCCAATTATAAGAGGGGCCAACTTATAGAATCCATCAGCATTCGCACATAACGGCACAGAAATACGTTCCTTATTTTTTTTGCGCCCTGCAATTCGCCGAGTTGCTAAGATTCGATTCGGTTCCAATCTAGAAAGAAATTTTTTTATTAAAAAAAAAAAAAAAGAAAAAAAAAATTTTATCAAAGAAAAAAAAACCACCGGTAAAAAAGTCTGGTTTCGTCTATATTATATATACGGTCAAGAGAGTATTCGGAGCATTTACTTTGCAATAAAGATAAGGATTTAGTAATAATATTCTCATCAACAGAACCTGCTTCTCCATGAAGCTTTATCTGACAGGTTCCATTTCGCTCTTTAAATTTTTGGAGCTACCTGGAAGAAAAATATAACTTGCTTTCAGGGACTACTAGTTCATCTGCTAACAATTTTGCCTTTTCGATCATCATAGCATCGCTTAGAATAGTGCGGTGTTAATAGATTAGTATGAATTCTTTGAGTGCTAGCTCAAGCTCTGGTACAGTAACGGTCCTATGTCGCTTGGCATCTAGATTTACGATTTTATTTGAAAGTCGTTGGTCCTTAGTTTGTAAGATTCAAGTGATCGTAGACTCATTAATTTTAACCCCTATTTGTCTTCAATCCACTTCACATATTCTGGGTGAGTTCTCTTATTATCACGAGCGTAGACACAGAATTCAAATTTTTGTGTATCCGTTAAGGTTGTTCTTTTTGGCATTATTCAAAAAACGTTACATGAAAAAATTAGAGGGGCGCAAAATTATTGCTTAGAAGAGAACGCAAAAGTATTGATTATTAAATTTAAAGGGGCCACTAAAGCGGCAAATTCATTATTTTAATTTTTTTTTTTTTTTTTTTTATCATTTTTTTAATTAAAGATCTAATTTAAAATGAATTAATTAAATAAAGTCTTT